ATCAGAAATTTGCGCTTACGACCTCTGGCACAATATCTACCACCCAGTTGATTATACAGTCCGTGAAGGAAAAAAAAGTACATAAAACCTAGAATACCCAGGCATCAGCTGGCCTCTCTAATATATATCAGATTTCCCACTCTGTCTCACCAGTGTTGGATTGTGCCGCGACTTTATAACAAGCCGCGATTTGTTTTAAATCCGGACGGTTGCAAGTGCTCCTTCGTATTATCCGGACGATTCCGGACAGTCGCTCTCCCGAGAAGGCTATGGATGGAATCCAGATTCCATCCAACCTGCAAGGTCTTCTCAGCGGAACCAACGGCCTTCTTCATGACTAAAAAGCAGACAGACCAAGAAGAGGAAGGGAAGCAAATGAGCGATTCAGTCTTGAAGCAAACCGGATAAAGAAGATAAACGGTCGACAATACCTCCTTAGCTCTCACGCTGGACTTGCTCTCGCTGCCGGACTCGCCGCTCTTGGTGCTCGTGTCCTCGGTGCTGGCGTCGCACTCGCAGCTGGACTTGCTCTCTCTGCCCGACTCGCCCTCAAATATCGCGACCAACGCATGATTGGTGAAGTGTTCACGCCCTGTTGTCGAAGCAACATTGATTCGAGAAATTGAAACCACTTATCAGGCAAACGTACAAGCAATTCAAGGCTATTACTGAAATTACGACATGTAAGGGACCAAAACAAACGTCTTGTCCGAAGAGAAAAGTGTCTTGAGGCTGAACTTTTGGCCGCGGACACCGGTCAACCTTGTCTCCTGGGGGAAGGATGGATCGTTAGTCCGAGGAAATTCTCTTTTATCTGGCAGTGGGATGACCTCATCGAACCCGTTGTATACGGGCTCATCGACTTCTCGGTTTTGCTCATCTTCAGATGCTTCATAGTCACTCTCTTCGTCGAAGTTGCCGTCCCAATCTGAGGATTCTTCACCAGGGACATCAAACACGCTCTGCCAGTACTCGGGGGTATCAAGCCCAGGTATTTTCTTGGTGCTCGACTAAATGATTTTCCTCAGCTTCCTCCATGGTAACAGCTGGGGTCGCGTCACAATTACCAAATTGCTTTCTTTCAGTGGCATCAACAATACGTTTGAGCTCCATGGACTCCATCCCTTCCGTTTCTACTCTGTCGAGGTTTCGAACTGCTTGACGAACAAGGGAAAACTTGCGCGCTTTTTCGGGGTTCATCCTATTCCGCTTTGCAGTATGAATCGCAGCCAGCTCGCAGAAATATCGTTCACAGGTTGCAGTGTTAACGGCGATTGAAAGAATCACTGCCGCAAGCTTCGGTAGTTTTGACTCGCGTTTGACGTCTGCTGCAAAGCTCCAGAATTGCCCGACGTCTCCATTAAAGCGAACTAGTGCCTGATCAACGAAACTACCGCGATACCACTAGTGAAAGTCAACTAGCAAGCTCTCAATATCCTCCTCATCGTTTTTAGCGATGTACCGGCGATAAAAGTAAATGCCGTATCCACATAGTCTCTCTGGAAGACGCAGTTGAGGCTCTACCTAATGTATTGCGACGGCAACACAATCGTGACGAGGATGTAAGAATAGTGCTAACAGTATCAAAGGCTGCTCGCACTTCAGCAATTGTTCCTCCACAGGCGCCACTAAATCCAAATTGACCAAGTTTCCCAAAAATCCACGATATATGTCTCGGAAAGAGACAATTACATCTGCAAGCGTGTTCTCATCGCGCCCTAACTTGTAGGAAACGTTTGAGAGAGGTCTGATAACTTCTTCGGCAGATTTTAAGTTCTCCCAGAAATTTGTATCACCAAAAATCTTGAGACCTTCTGGAAACTCGGGGTCATCGATGTACCTAACCGAAAATTGGTGAAGTGCATTTCTAACACGCAAGAGGGGTGCAAAGCAGCCTTGCATACTATTCCAACGTGTTTCACAGAGATTGATAAAGCCCAATTGCTTGCCATAAATAGCCAAAATTACGGCTTGAGCACGAACCAGCCACTTCGACGACGATCCATTCAGTGTCGCAGTCGCGAGCGATGCTTTCTTCGTCAGTATTTTAAAAGCCGAGTTTAAAACAGCTTTCACCAAGTTATTTATATCCTGCGCAAAGCAATGAATAAACGCAATACGCGGGCACCGGAGCGCTAGAATGCAGCGCGCCCGGCGACATTGACCGGCATCATCACTTACAACAGCACCGGTTTCCCAGCCCTTTTCAGTTACGTTCTCCATCACATTTTCCATTTGCTCGCCGATCGCAACACCATCATGCCTTGGCCCAGTCTTAAATAGGCCAAAAGTCAAGATAGTACCAAGTAAAGCTAACATACACCCAAGTAAGTGCATTTTAGCAACGTTTTGCCAAACATCCGACAAAAAGTTAACGCGTCCACCACTGAACTCCATTCGGTTTCTTAGAGCAGCATGCTGCTCTTCTTCTTCGACTTGGTTGTACTTTTCCAAAATCTTCCCCATTTCTTTTCTCTTCGGTAGAGCAGTAGTACAGGCTCTTTTCAGAAAAGTAAAAAGACGTATAGTAGATCCTTTCTCAATAAATCGATCGAGCAGGCAGTTGTCGGCTTGAAACTGGATAAGAAGACGCTCGAATTCTTCATGTTTGTCTTCCGTGAATACAGTGTCAACGTATTCGCGAATGAAGCGCTGGCGCTTGTCGGAACTAGCCGAAGATGCTACTTCTCGTTGATTTTCTTGGTCCACTTGGCGCTTGAAACCGTTAATCACACTGTGGGAAACCTGGGTAGCTTGAGGAGGCTGTACTTGGCCACTCTTGACAGCCTCTAGGTAAAATGTACAGGACTTAAGGT